CCCCAAAACCCCAAAACCCCAAAACCCCAAAACCCCAAAACCCCAAAACCCCTTTTTATTATAATATAATTGAACCTAGATAACATTGGAGATGAAGCAACAACAAATGAAAAATACCCTGAGATCAGAGCTTTCTTCAAAGAAAATTGACCTAAATTTCTCATTCAAGCAATCGGATTTTAGCTCCAGCAATGGATTTAAATCAATTAAGAAAGAAAGTTCTAATGAAGTCCATAAAATGGACCACATCATGACTGGGGTAGAGGTTTTGAGTAAACTCGATCATACTCCACACTTACACAAAAATACGAAGCTTCAAGGCTCTTCTATGAGTAACAAAGAGGGGCCTCCCTCTGTGCATAACATAAAACAAAAGAAGGCCAATGATCTTCGCTTTATTAATGGTAAGTAATGCTCAGAAAGTATGATTGCTCTCTTTTAATGCATAATTACTGCATCAGAATTTTTAGAAAAGTTCTCAACCTAAAAAGTAGATTCATTACTTTTATATACCCCAGAGCTAGCTTTGAGCTATTGCTTTAAGGTCGTTGAGGCGGAAACACTAATGTGTATTTTATTTTTGAAATCTTCTTTCCATCGAAAAACTAATGGAGGTATTAATTTTAATCATAAAATTATGAATTTTACGACTAGATTTTATTTGTAATAGAGCCTATATCTCTGATCTCTGATAACAAGGAGACCCCTTCTCTAACAGAAGTGAAAGCCTCAGACCTGATCCCTTTTACTAACAGAGAAAATGCAAGGAAACAGAAGGGTAAAAATGTGAGTATTTCATGTTATACTATTTACTAAGGAAACTAACAATGGTCTAGTCTAAGAAATTGACAAAATTCGCAAATTTTGGGATAGAAATATCTACTCATAAAGGAAGTGATAAGATCCTAAGATCACCAGGAAAGCGAGAATCCCACACAAATTCAAAGGTCAAGATAAAGCCAAATGAGTACGTGATCAATTCCACCAATTTTCCATACTTTCCCTGCAATATCTTATCATTAAACAGCTCTCTGTTTACTATAAGCCAATCTCTAAACCTCAGCTCTCTATACCTCTCTTGCCTGCTAGTATCTCCCCTAAAATCCCGTCTAAATTTCTCCAGAAATCTTTTTTCCTTACAAAATTTAGCTTTTAAATATTTTTTAAGTTTATCTACGAAAAAGTAACTGAAGTTTATGAGGTTTATTAGCGAATTGGTCTGAAGAACTAATCCCCTCAGAGCCATCCACCATCCAAATTCCATCCCAAAAACAATCTTATTACCAAAAATTCTCTCCACGAACAAAACCTCTTTCACCCTCTTCAATCAATAGAAAAAAGTAGTAAAAAAATCCAAAAATTCCCACTTTTCTAGAGAAATCTAAGCCAAAGGAAACTTTAAATAGGCCAAGGAAAAATAACTGGAATTGGGTGTTTTTGAGGTGTTTAAGTGAAGTTTTGTGTAGAAAGAGAGTAATGGTGGTATAGGGTGAAAAGGAAGGGGAATAAGAGTAAAGAGAAGGTGCAGAGTGATTGAAATAGTAAGATTGTGAGGGAGAGTGGGGTGAGGGAATAGAGACTTGTTTGGGTGCTGTTGGGGGATATTTGGGATTGGGAGATTGGAATATTGTTCTTCTAGGATTTATTTTTGGGAATTATTTAGTTTTTGTAGTTTTTGAAGAATTATGGGTTACAGATTTGTATAGAAATAGTAAGGAGTCCACCGATATCAGATAGCAATGGCATTTGTAATCTGAATTTTGCAAATATGAACCTAAATAGTCTCAAATCAACTAGTGAATTCATTAAGAAGCAAGAAAAGGATTCCAGCGCTGCTGCTCGGAATCATTTGTATAAACTCAATTCTCGAATGATGAACCAAAATGAAGCTGATAAAATCAAACCAGCTCAGATAAATCAGCTAGCAGAGAACATGCAAGATATTTATATAGAAGGTAGCATTTTCCTTAATCTTCTTACCTCTTTGTTAATATTTGTTAGGAAAATAATTCCAGACAGAAGGAACCAGTGAACAAGAATTTGCTGAGATACATCAATGGATTTAGATTCGAAACACCAAGCAGTAATACTGCAGAATCAACAACTGCAGCTACATCAATGAGAAAGATTTCTAATAGATTTTCACCAAGCATGGCTGATGGTGCTAGCATTCCTGACCCTATCCTTACTGAATCAAGCGATAGAAGAAAGCCTATATTCACTCCTAAACTTGGATCCAAGAATTTAATGAAGCAATCATTAGAAAGGATCAACAAGGCCATTAAAAGATATGACAAGAACATCGGGCCTGATAATGTTCCTGGCCTTTATCAGCAATACCGTAATCCTTCTTCCCCTTCTCAAGCTAGAGAAAATCTTGAAAGTGAAGGGAGTAGTCTCTTTGGAAGTGTCATAATGCTTGATGACCCAAAAGTCATGCTCTCTAGCAATAAAGAACTTAGTGAAAACATCGCTAACTCAATTGTGTGTGACAGTGAAACAAATATCGAAAATTTCACTCTCGGCCCAGCTCAATTCAAGCAAATCACTGAAAACGCTTCTAATCGAAATTATGATACTGATCACAAAGAAGATGAAGATATTAACCTTGGAAGAAATAAGAAGGATATGCAAAAATTTTCTTCTGCTGATAGACTCCACTCTAAGAAGAGAAAATACTTCGTAAAACCAGAGCCAAGTGGAACCAATATGCTTAGATATAAATCCCAGATATCTAGTCCATTAGTGCTAGTTGATGGCAATAGTACTTTTAAGAGAGATAGAGGCTCTGCTCCTAGTGTGGAGCCTGAAATTGTCCAGAAATTGGATTTTCAGAAAGGTGTTATTATAGACAAAAATTATAAAACTAGAAGCTCACTGCATCGGTCTGATCCAATTCATATAAAATTCAGGGAATCAAAATCGAAGATTCCCATTACAAATCAAGACTTTAATCCGCTAGGATGCCAAAAATATATGGGAAAGTTCAGAATGAGAGATTCTCGCCAATCACGTGCGTGTCATAGCATGAAGAGGACAATAAAAATAGGGAAGAATAAAAAGATCCCTAAGGATTTTTTCTCATAGAGCCTCCATTATTGTAATGATACCTAATCTATTCAATTAACTCAATTGATTGAGGGGTTTTGGGGTTTTGGGGTTTTGGGGG